ACTTTTATAGGATTAATCCCTAATCTTTAGCCATGACTGAATAGAGAATAGAGAATGATTTTGTGAAAGAGCAATGACTAAGGACCATGAGAACACTCAGGTGTCTCCCTGGACAACATGTCCAGTGGGAGAATCTTACCCTCTGATGTCAAACAGTTTAGCCTCAGTTCAAGAAAAGTGCCTGCTAAGTGTGAGACCTGGACATTATTCTTCACCCTGAAGAGCTACAGAAAAGTAGTTTTACCACAAATGTATGGGAACTAAGGGGAAATCGAAAGTTTTCCTGAGGTTTTCATAGTTCTTTGAAATAACCCACTTGGAAAAAACATATTTAAAATATGTCTCGTGTTTTCTACTTAGAATACAAGGTGAAAGAGAACTCCTCTGTATATTTCATTGTAGTGGTTCATGCACAACAGCAACACTTGGTGTTTTAAGAAAAAAAAAATCTTGTTATTTATAAACATAAATAGTCCTTGAATTTTGTGCTGATTCTGCCTTTTAGTGTTCCTAAAGAGTCCCAAGTGAGAGTGACATGCAAAGAGACAAAGGCAGTAGACAGTTCCGAGAGTGTGACACAGGTAAAGCAGCAATGGATCTAAATGATGTCAGACATGAGTATGTAGGTTAAAAAAACAAACCATGGTTTATTTAAATGTGTAAAGTACTTGGAGGGAAGAAGATTACATTGTACTATGGCAATACAGACAGCACATACCGTAACAAGCTCATCCGTCGTCATGAATTCAGGCTACTCTTTCCAGACTCTTAATCCACTCAGTCACACAGATCTTTGGGAGACGCTCACCATCAATTTCTCCAGGGAACTCCACACTACAGATTAATTTCAGACAGAATTTACTGTCCTGTTTCTGCATGTCAGACTCGGGAGCAGAGCATCGTCCTCCCACCAGGGGAGACAGACAGACAGAATATGGCAAAACTTCTCATGCACTAAGACCCTCTGTCACGGGTTAAGTAAAGGTAGCCCGATGAAATATCTGATTCTTGGACAAATTACCAGGCTGTCTGCCTTAACCTTATCCCAGATGTGTCTCATCACTGGGATGAGAAGCCTAAAGTAGCAGAGACTTAGAGAGATATTATATTATAAAATGCCATTTCCAGACTCAGACTTTTATTTCATGTTCTTTTCAATCCAGTCTTTGAAGGGAAGAGCTTTGGTGTAGCCACTGTAGAGTTCTAGGCTGCAAGTTTTATCATAACCCCAGCTCACTAATCCCATCAAGTGCCAC